ATGTCTACATTGTGGTGCGTGACAGTGTGGACAAATTCTCCAAATTTGTTTGCTAAGCTAAAAGCATTAGTCACCAGGAGGCGCAGTGACTGGGTCGAGGAGGTAGGTGGTGCTGTGGGTGTTACATTATAGTTATAGTTCTGCATTATTATTATTATTTTTTTTTTCAAGTCACGATTAGGCTCTGGCAAGCGGACTAAATCGTGAGCCTGGAGCTAGATTTGTTGGTTTCCGGGAATCCTTCTTCTTCCCCCCAGTTGCCAACTCTGCTGAGGACTCAGTGCTGGCATTCCTACCTCGTCGTTCAGGCGTGAACCAGGTGTGGATCGCTTCGGTGTTGATGTTTGATGCCACTTCTGATAGGAGTCGCTCTGTCCGTTCTAGATCTCGCTCTGCAATGTCTACTTCGACGTCCGCGAGGGGAGTTCTGGGGTGTGCTGTCATGCTTGACAGCGATCCCTGTGCGGACGACATGTCTGGCTCAGTATCTGTCAGGTTGTTCAGCGCTGAAGTAACCTCAGTAGTCCCCTCATCGACTTTCCTAGTTTTCAAATTCAAATCCGTTTCGAACACTTCAGTGCTGACTGCGGGTTCTCCAACATTTGACCCCACATAGTCCATCGGCCAAGTCTCAAAATCGAAAGTGGTGATGCACTGAGCTTCCAACTAAACGCGACCATACCCAGCACGTAGAGAATATATCAGAGAACACTATTCCGTTTGTTGGACGTGCCGAATTCAGTCCAGGGCGTCGATACGAAGCGTTCTTCGTCGCCGAGTTTTTTACTGTGCGCTCCATTTGAGAGTGCGCAGAGTTCTGATCGAGAGTTTTTTGAGCAGATTTTCAAATTTTTGAGGCTGTCAGCTGACAGCTGTCAACCCTAAATGGCACTTAGTATGTGACAGGCAATAGGTTTTGGTGCCTCCGTATGCCTTCTAATAAGTTCTATCTTCCTTCGTTTCACTTCGCTGCTTCGCCCACCACCTCAGGAGATGACAGCATACCTACACTCGTCAGCTCTCGCTAACCCTGTCTCTCTTTCTCCGTCTTAGCGCTCGTCATTCGTGTCCTTCTGCTGGGGCGAGCTTGATACTGTTGTGTCGTAGTTTTTAGGCAATAGTGGCTGTTGTTCGCATGACGATCAGGATTTATGGAGAAAGACGACGACTCGCCAAGTTCCCATGCAGCCACAGACGGCGTAGCAATTCTTACCGCCAACCCTTCGAGCAACGGAACCGGCCTGAGTTGGAAATCGTGTCTGTGTAATTGTGCCACGATACGGATGAAATACACAGGCTCACATGTGATGAGATGAAGATAATCTCAACAGGCTGACGGAAATCCAACAGGCTCACGGGAACGCTGCAGTTATGGTCGGAGACGCGGAGTTATTAGTCACTGGTAAATGTTGCATCGAGTGCTGTGTGCTCTAACACAATTGTAAAATCATGAAAAAGCGAAAATAATGCAATGGTGGGGCTGAGTGGTGTTCTGTGGAGGAGACGTCGCTGTCTCAGTATTCAACGCCGGACCCTGTATTTCAAGTCTGTGGTCATGCTCGATAATAAGTTCCTGTATGGCTCCAGTGCCTTCTCAGCATTGTTGGCGGGTAAGCACCTGGATCGTGTCCAAGTACTGCGGCTCTGGTGGCTTCAGGGATGTGCGGGTGCTCGCCGTGCACCCCTGCCGGCAATCTGCTAGTGAAGCTTGGTACCTACTGTGTCCGGGAGATTTTCATCCAGAAGCTGATCTTCCTAGGCTGGAGCTGCTGCTACTCCTGTGCTAGCCCTCAACCACTGGCGCTCCTACTCGGCTCCAGTGTGGGCCATTAACCACCCTGCCGTTTCGCACTGTTGCTATTCCACACCGTCAGCATTTAACTCTGAGGTCAGACCTTGATCCCTCCCACCATATGCTATCTGTCTGTCTGCCTCTCTCTCACACACAGATGTGCGCGCATACACACAAACACACATGCACACACACACACATGCACACACAGTGACACAAACATACACATAGCCAACTTCTCTGTGTTTGGTGATCATCATCTGTTTTCTGATGTGCAAGCTCACCTCTGATGCCGATTACTTCCTTTCTTAGACCCGGTCTGCTATTAGACCAGTCTGCTCTCCCTTCACTCGCTTGTAAATCCTACTTGGAGCAGTTAGGTTGTGTCACTGCTCCTACTGATGTCATTGTTGTGAAAGCAATATCATCGCCATTGGTGGTAATTTTCCACCATGCATGAATCATTAACAATCATCATTTATGTGTCACGGCCTAACCATCCTCGTAACTCCCCTCATCGTGACTAGTGCTGTACCGTTGAAACCTACTTTGCTTCAGTGTATATTCGCTCCAAAGCTCTTGTTTTGTGGCATAGTGATCTGACGCAATGTGCTATAGCCTATCGGGTAATATGGATAAGATTAGTACAGTCGGCATCGCCTATCTAGTGACCAGGTACATGTATAAGGATACTAGTACATGTATACCGGCTTAATGATATCGGAACACAAATAGCACTATGTGTGCAATATTCCTTTCTAAGCTCACGCTGTGCGGTGCAGATAGGTCATGTGTCGTTGCCAACTTGCCGCATGTGCATGTGCAGCAGGAAGGCACCACATGTCGACTACTACTTATACTGTACAGCATTGTGTGCTTACATGCATCTACGGCCTTGTGGATGCAATTGAGTCTCACATACATGTACATGAAATATTGCGTGTAGTGCGGCATCAGTTAACATACAGTGGCTAAATATTTTTCTCGCAATAATGACCGTATTCACCACAAGTGTGTTTATGTCCAGAGCCAACTCAAGTCCTGTATTATTTATGACCATGACAACAAGACTTCCGGGCTGAAATTCTTCTATGACAGGCATGAACACTTGCCTTACAATTGTTCGTGATTGTACGAAGTACATATTCGCTGTTGCATCAATTTTGCACCATTTACATTGTAGTGCCACTAGTGGTATCACCTGCATGCGTATTGAGTCAAACAAGGTTACCTCTGTATAATTATTATGCTTATCGTGGCTATCAAGAGCTTCGATGCAAATTCCCAGCTGACGAATGGTGTCCAGCTTGTGTTCAGCTCAGCTGGCACTCACAACTCATAATAATTGCGTTCTAGACGCCAGATGAGATGTTTCAGCTACAATGTAGACACAACGTCCGTGTTCAAGAAAGCCGTCACTTCATCTTCTGTCCATCCTCAACAGCACGTTCAAGCAAATACGTCTGAAACACAGTAGCGACAATCCGACAGCGGCGACACGCCGTCTTCTCCGAATGAGCTTCTACCGTTCAGATTCCCCCAAAAATGTCAAAATAAATAATAGATTTCCACCAAGCTCGCTAGAATCTTGCGAACCGTCAACATGCAGGCATTTCAAGTGTTCGAGCGTGCGTAGATTCTGCTCAGCGGCTCAAGAATATTCGCCAAGCGAAAAAAAGTCGATGAGAAAGATGTAATGGTGGACGAAATTACGAAAATCGGAAGAAGGTATTCGACCCAGTTCGACTATCCTGGACTGGATTGGCAACGTCCAACAATCGGATTCGTATTCTATGGGGTCTCATGAGCTAGTGTGCCAAAGGGCGTTTAGTTGGAGCTTCAGTGCATCACCTTCGCCGAAAGAGGCCCTTTCTGAGATTTGGCCGATGGACTAACAGGAGTTGCACTCGTACTACATCCAGTACTCGAGGGAGTACTCGGGCTGGTGCTGGGCCTTCTGCTGGAGCGTGCCGAGTCTGGCGACTCGTTTTGGACTCCGGTCTGTACGGTAAGTTCACCAGGTTGCCCTCCGACAGTTGCAGTTGCGCTTGTTCTGGTGTGCGCGGTTCGCTTGGCGTATGTCGTTCCTGTGGCGAGTTTGCAATCTGCAGCGATGTGTCCCGGTTGGGAGCATTTACGACAGGTTGCAGGCTGGCCTTCGTAGCGTACACGAAACAAGTTGTTCGTAGATGTTTTCACATACGACGGAATCTGCATGTTGGGGCGAAGAGAGAATGTGACGAAGCGGATACCAGTGGCAATGACGAGCCCTGACTTCGTCTTGACAAATCCATGGCGAAGAGGCCCAACGGCCGATCCAAAGACACCCAGGCTTTCGATAATAACGTCGTCCTGGACCCAGATAGGCACATCGTGAATTTGGATTTCCACGGAATCAGGCACCAGTTGAGTGACGCGCACTTCCACTGACATGAGATGAAAACCGTTTCGGCAAAGTCGTGTCAGAGTGTCTCGGGAATGAAACGTGGCCTTGCAGCTCAAGTTACTGGTCAGCTGCACGGATATCAGGTCGGAGTAGCCATGTTCAATCAGGGCCTCAGCAACTTCGAGGGTTTTCGTGTGCAGTGGAACGTGGAAAGTCCCCGTGTTCCTCTTTAGAACTTTCGGAGAGACCGAATTCCAACTGCGATTTTCACCGGACGTGGGCATTTGGAACGCCCTAACTATCTACTACCTAATTTTAAACTATCCAGCCCCTACCCTGCTCCAGACCGGCCTGCTGCCGGCTGGCTCCTACAAAACCTGCGAAAAACTACGGAGCTCAAAAAAAGCTAACTGCACTATACACTCATGCTAGTGGGGAATTTGGTTTGCGCCTTGGAGAAGTGTTAGAGATAGGTGTCAGGTCGCCGAATGTCTCAGTACTCCTTGTCAGTTTTGTGCCATTTTGTCGCACTCGCTGACTGTATAAGATCTGGTTACGTTGGTGGACAGTTAGTCATAATTCGTAACATTTTGTCCTTCTTCTTTTTCACAATAGTTTAATTGGCTCACCATCCGAGTTACAAATGTTTTCAACTTACATTATCGTAAAGGTTTGGATCAGCAAAAATGAATTAGTTCGTCTCATAGCTCCCCTTCACATCCCACTGTTCCTGTGGAGAATTGTGCAGTGGTTAAGACCATTGCAGCACAGGGTAGCAATTTCACAGTTTTGTTTGGTAATACTTCATGAGATACAACTTACCTTGTCAGGTTGGTTTGGATTGGCTTTGCTGTCCAGTAGATGCCGCATGCAGTCGATATGTCCCAGCTCACTGGCATATTGAAGTGGTGTCTTTCCCCGCTATAACACAAGTGAATGTTTAGCAAGCAGCCAACAAAGAACATGGCTCACTATAAGAGATGATTGTACACATTGCATGCCACATGATTATCTGTGGAGGATACATTATTATGAACGAGGGCAAGTGGCAGCTTTGAGCCTGTTGATTTCAGAAGACTCCTAAAGTCATCACCAGATGTGCTTTCCGACCAACCACATTCACACCACAAGCAACATGACACTCCGAGTTATGACATATAGTGATTCTTCGGGGTGTAATCGGGATCTGTTGTGACTTGTTTTTTGAAATAACCATTAAGCAATAAGACCATTGCAGCACAGGGTAGCAATTTCACAGTTTTGTTTGTTAATGCTTCATGAGATGCAACTTACCTCGTCAGGTTGGTTTGGATTGGCTTTGCTGTCCAGTAGATGCCGCATACAGTCAATATGACCCCGCTCACTGGCAAAGTGAAGTGGTGTCTTTCCCCGCTATAACACAAGTGAATGTTTAGCAAGTAGCCAACAAAGAACATGGCTTACTATAAGAGATGATTGTACACATTGTATGCCACATGATTATCTGTGGAGGATATATTGATATGAACGAGGGCAAGTGGCAGCTTTGAGCCTGTTGATTTCAGAAGACTCCTAAAGTCATCACCAAATGTGCTCTCCGACCAACCGCATTCACACCACAAGCAACATGTCACTCTGAGTTATGACATATAGTAACTGTTTTTAATGAAAGAGATAGGGGTGTTATCGGGATCTGTTGTGACTTGTTCTTTGGCGTAGCCATTAAGCAATAAGCATTAAGCATTGAATACTTTTCCAGCAGTTTTCCAACATAGTCTTAGATATATTTATACAGTAATGTGCTCACTATTTCGTATTTTACTTACTGCTTCGTTGCCATAGTGATTATTCAGAACCAATCAGGTTTAGAAGAGCACAATGCTCCAGTGGTTTTTCTTCCCTAATAACATATTCGTGAACTTCATTCTTGTGTCGCGTTACTCCTTCCTATAATAATACCAAGAGTATAATAATATATAACCTCCCAAGAGGGTGCAACTCTGCATAAGGGGTCTCCGACGGCGAAAACTCACATCACATGTCTCAGGTACGTTCCTGATACGTACAAATGAAGGATAGGGTGCGCGCAATCCGAATATCTGCAATGATCATGCTGGGGATTTGTATACCCGCAGTGAGTTTCTGTCAGAGAGTGATTTTTTATTACTCCATTGCTCGCTTAATAACGGGCTGGAAACGTACAACTGCGACACTACACCACGTGATGTGAGATTTCTCCGTCGGCGTACCCCATAGAAAGGGTATCAGGAGTTGTACACTCTTGGGGGCTTATATACTCTTGATTATACTAATAAAACTAGTGTTGAAACGAGCGTATCTATAACAAACGAGCGATCAGTTCCACTAACGAGCAAGCTATCGAGCGAGCTAACGTCAGTAACGAGTTTCATTGATGTGGCAAATATGATTTTTTGAACAATTTTTTTTCTAAGTTCGATTTTTTCAGCTGGTTCAAATTATCACCGCCGGCATTTGGGGTTGCTGCTGCTTCACTTCGGACTGCTGTTTGGTGTCGAGATGTCTTTTCAGCGCCGTCGTCGAGTAGCCTTTGTAAGAATAGACCGTTTTGCAAAGGTTGCAAGTAGCCCTGGTCTTCGCTGCATCGCGGGAGAAAACTTCCAAACGACTGAGCGTAATTATTTACTTTCACTCGAATGGAGAGGTGACCGAAGCATATCCTGCGACAGGTCAGCAGATGCGGAACAAGACATCAGTAGAGTCCACCAAAGCTGCAAGTGCAACGACTATTGTCAACTCAAGTGTCGTGAAGGCATACAGTCACTGTAACTGCGAGTGATTTTCACTTTGCGCGAGACTGGACTCTTGATCGACCAGGGAGTCGTAAAATATTTTACGACTCCCCGGTCGACATGTACTGCCATGTGTACGGAGTGCAGTGTACGGTGTTCGTTAGTGCAAACGAGCTGGCCGCACAGACGAGCCGAGTTTCTGGCGAGCGAGCTAAGGAGTATCCGGTGAGATCGTTTCAACACTACATAAAACTATAGTATTGTCCTTTTAAAGTGTCTTAGAAAAGGACCGTTTATCCAGCGCAGCTAACACGTCATATACTGTCTTTGCTGCTTTCTGAGTAGATCTATCTGTCAAGTGGCTGTTAAGAAACTCGCAGGCTCGCAGGCTGGCCAGCAAGAACCTTGGAGGAACTGAGCTGTGAATGGAGCTGTAACCGACTAACAAGTCATCCCTATACCTTCAGGCATGCAGTGTGATGCATGTCACAATAGGCATAACACACCCATAATCATACCAAACAATAATTATCACTCTGAGCCATTGGCATAACAGATGTCTCGCGCTCGTGAGACCAACCCTGCTTACGATATACACTGGATACTAAGGATTTATTCTGGGGTTGCAAGGAATATTCAAATATTCTATTGATATCCGTTTGGAACCCGATGGAAGGAATATTTCCCCCTTTAGAATATTCGTTTGTTTTGACACGCGCACGCACTCTGCTCTTGTGTTGATCTATCGTAGTAATTCTTGAACGGATGGAGTGATATGTACGTGTGTTATGTGTAGAGAAAGGGGAATATGACTCACAAGAGTAGTGGCCATGACTCCACTAGACATCTACTTGGTCTGGAAAAACCGGGGACTAGCCAAACTCTTTCCAAACTCTTTCTAAGATTCCTTTGGTATAAAATATTCGATTCGTTTACAAAAAATCGATTTCGTTCCTATTTACATAATAATTATTTGTTTCACCCTTAGAAATAATTCAGCATTTTGGGAGAATATTCGTTATTGGTTCGTTATGGGCGAGAATTCGTTCGTTTTGTGAAATAGAATATTCGCTGCAGCTCTAATTTATTCCCATAGCTATGCAAAAGACGTTACTTAAATAACGTCTGCCGCTAGCTAGGGTCCACACAGCTTTAATTCCGTCATTGTTTGTTGTGTCGTCGGGCATGCCTGGCGCTATCCCTTACGAAGCCCGTACCGTACCATCAAAGACAGCTGGCAATCTCATTCAAATAGGGCTTTCAACTGCAAAATAATAATGTAAAGCAACTTGGAAGAATGTGTACGTACAATGTATGTGAACTGTATTGTTTATAGGGGTAATGCATGAAGGGGTAATGCATGAAGGGGTAATGCATGAAGGGGTAATACATGAAGGGGTAATGCATGAAGGGGTAATGCATGAAGGGGTAATGCATGAAGGGGTAATGCATGAAGGGGTAATGCATGAAGGGGTAATGCATGAAGGGGTAATGCATGAAGGGGTAATGCATGAAGAGGTAATGCATGAAGGGGTAATGCATGAAGGGGTAATGCATGAAGGGGTAATGCATGAAGGGGTAATGCACGCAGGGCGATAGTGCGGGTTCGAATCGCATGTTATGGTAAAAAAAACATAGGAGAAATGAAAAAGAAGCGTCATTTCACGAAGGATTTATTGAGACGTCACGAACAAATTCTGGTAGTGTCATTTTTTCTTGGCGCTAATATGTTCAGTCTGTGTTTTCGTGTAGCGTGGCTTCGCACAGTGTCGAAATGTCTTTAGGTTCTCCTTCCGGTTCTGAGGGAGCTGATCCTGTGCTGGTGACAGACAATGCGGTGAGTATAGCGGCGGTGGATATAGGATACACATTTTAAAAAGTGTTAGTAGGAAATCCACCTGCAGATCGGTCAGTAGATCCAGATCTGTTTCGCTAGAATGTCTCCAGAAGCTGGAGTTATCAGTAGAGCAGATTTTCGCTTCTGTCGAGAGTTTACCGTTATGTCCCGATTCGATCTGGCGTCGAGCAGACCGATCTGTGGATATCGATATTCGAGGGCGAAAATGAGTCAGACCCGGACGAGATGTAATCTCTGGCAGATTATGTGACTCGCTCTCTCATTCTACATGACATCCTCTACAGTTCTAACGTATACCTGTCCTTTCCTCCCTAACATCAGCCCAAAGACGGTTCCATCAGTTCGAATAATATGCATGATGAGCTAGGCAAAAACACATAGCGTACGGCACTGAGCTTTCAAGCTCTCTCGTCATTCAGACACATTCAGACACATGTTTACACGCACATTCAGATACACGTGTGCACACAGGAACCATGCCAACCAAATATCTATGATAAAACTGGTTTCCTCACATGATCAGTTACGTTTGTATCCGCACCGGCATCGAGCAAATACTGTAAACATTTTACGGAGTGTCGATCAACAGCTTCATGAAGAGCGCAACCGTAGTGTTCAATCTGCAGGTAAAGTAGGAAAAAGCGGAAATACAACATACAGAGCAACATACAGAGCAGATACTGAAAGTGATGACATTAGAAGGCAATTCTAATGACTTTTGAGACGATGTGGGTCCCTAGTAGCCGGAGTGGTGGTTCTGTGCAGTACCGTAGTCTGTCATACTGGCCACTGGATATGATGCACACACCTGGTACAATTTTCCTTGTCATGAAGATTACAAGTGATTCATTCAACACCCGACTTTAAGTACAATTTTAACAGTGAACACCTACAAATATTGCGGAAAAGTTGTATCCATCCTAACTGCAGCTAAATATGGAACCTGGTGGGAAAGACCTCATTCTCAATCAGGCGCTGCACTTTATGTGTTTTTGGTTTCCGGAAACCACCTTTTTTGTCTAATCTTGAAAAAGAAAAGGTGTGTCCACTCAACCATTCACAGGCAGTTTACGCAACAGTGGCTATGTCCTTATTTCGAAGTGAGAGAAAGAGAGAGTTGCTTCACTTTCAGCTCAATCTTCTCTCCTTCTTCAGTGGAGAGCAGCTACAGAGATCGATATCTGATCCGCTCCTGGACTGGCAGTGACGTTCAACAAGTCTGCTTTGTCTCGTAACTTGAGTCAAGCACGCACGATGCACATTGAGTTGATGGACAAGCCAGAGAGCACATTAAATTTTGCAACCTTGCTACCTATTACATCACTCCCTTGAGGTTCACGGTAAACCGTACGTATACTCTCCGGCATCCAGACATCTTTAGGTGTGGCCTGGGCCCACCTGGCTAGGGCCCAACTGCGGCCGGTACAAAAGCCGTTGAATGATGTTGTTGTTTGTTGTTGTTTGGCTTTATTTAAAGTGGAGTTCCAAAACAGGCCTAAACCTAATGACAATGGTCCCACTGATAATAAGAGAAAAGAAAAATATATAATAATAAGCGGGCAAACAGAACCAAGAAGAAGATACAGCTGTAGTTAGATAACTAATATGAGCACGGCAGCAGGGGAAAAAAGTCACAAGCACGGCAACCGGGAAGAAAGGAGTGAGTGAGTGAGAGAGAGAGAATGATCTGGTATTAAATGTTACATCGGCGCCACTATTCAAGTCCCGCCATTCTAACCACATGACAACAACTAGACACGAACAATATTCTCATAGCACGAAATTCCAGGCACATCCGGAACCTAAAGAAATCAAACACCCAGTACAAGTCCAGTGGAGGGTAAAATATGGTGCCCGGGCGTACATCAACATCACCTAGCGATGTTCTCTCTGCACCAGAGAAAAGCTCCACATACTCAATAGTCAACACGCCAAATCAACATCTAGTCTCCACCAGTGCTCCGAACTCATGTCCAAATGCTGGCATGAGAACAAATATTTCCTCAGCCTCGACAATGTCACATAACTGTCCCCACCTCGACAGCCTCCTGACAACACCAGCCACACACCCTGCACCGATATAACCATGACTGCTAGGCTTGAAACTAACACAACCGCCACAGGGCATGCACACAGTGTTTTCTTCTTGTTTGATACTCACCCTGCTTCTCTCTCTTTCCTCTCCTTTGGTTCCTCATCAGGAACATTATGCTGACCTTTCAAACAAACTTCCAGTCAACTGCCCCATCATGCAGGTGGTTTATATTGTGCACATAAACCCCATATACCTTTTACGACTTAAAATAGAAGGAGAAAGGTTGGGGGTCGACTTACAACCGGGATTCGACTTATAACCGGGAACTATCAGAATCTTACAAAAAATGACCTGAACTGCATGCACGAGTGCACTATGTGTACACATTTTTCCAGTTTATTGGTCTTTTGAAGGATTGGGATGTCATAACCTCCAACAAGGAATGTTTACATGATTTGTTGATGTGTTAATAGCAGGGAGGGGTTAGTAGTGCTTCTTTGGGTGAAAACTTTAAAACGCAGAATTGAGACCTCCGGATACGGGGTCGACCTATAACCGGGGTCGACTTACAACCGGTAAAATACGGTATACATATGAGCCTACGTTGTTCAGTAGGGGTAGGTTGCACTTTTTGAAGCTCCCGTAAATCTTTCTTGGTAGAGCCCAGCCGGCATCAGGCCGGACTGGAGGTAGTTTCCGTAGGGTAGCAGTAAGTTTTTTTAGTAGTGCTCGTAGAAATTGGTGACCTCCGCCATGCCTGGGGCCACCACGAGAACAAACACTCGCGCGACTGCCCTGAGTGATGAAAAGCTGAGGCTGATGGAGTCGTTGCCGGGCATTGAGGTATCTGTAGTAGAAATCCTGAAAACATTGGCCGCATTTGTCTCGGAATCGGCTGATCGGGAGACGCGCCTAAACAAACGGGTTGACGAGCTGTCCAGGCAGCTCAAAGATGTGAATGAAGAGTTAGTGTCTCTCCGAGAATCCGCCATTGCCTTGCGAAAAGCTACCCCAAGGCAAGTTCAAACACAGCAGGGTACGGGTGCGGATCAACCTTCGCGTAGGCGTACCAAAGCAGGAAGTGCGGGTACAGGTACTCGAAAGCATGACACCACGATGTCCCGTAGCGTCCCCAGCAACATTTCCCGTAGCGGTGACGAGTGTGAAGAGGATGGCAGCGTCCCCTGCAACATCTCCCGTAGCAGTGACGAGTGTGAAGGGGATGGCGACCAAGATGCCATCCCCACCAAGTCCCAGACAGATGTGACAGAATCCAAGCCAATCTTCCATGTTATTGAGGATGACTCATGGAAGCTTGTCTCCTCAGAACGACCCAAAAACAAGCGTGCTGTGGTGTATGTGGGCAATATCGCCACAGATAGCACTGAGAGCCACTTCAGGCAATTTATCAAAACCAGGAGTGAGTTTCTGGGCGCCTCAATTCCTGTCCACACCTGCAGTGTATGGCTGTCAGAAAGTGGGCATGCTTCCGCAAGAGTGACCATCGATGCCACTTCACTCTCCACAGTGACAGCGCCCAACTTCTGGCCACGGCCCGTATACTGCAGGCCATGGAGGTTCTTAGAAACCAGCTCTGAGGGCAGCACCAGCAGTCGCAGCCACAGCAGCAGAAACAGCACCTCTGCCAGTGTTCTGACTAAACAGCAACAGCAACAACAGCAGCCGGGTTCAACGTCCTCCTCCTCCCCGCCGCCACCACCACCGCCGCCACCACCACCGGCAGACTTCATCTCCACTCCACTACACAGTGGCCAAAAACGGAGAAACTCCCACCTCTCCCCACCAGAGGCTGGAGACCTGAAGAGATCAAACGGATCTGCGCCACAACATGACCAGCATGATGCGCAGCCACCCCAGCAGGATGCCCAGTCCTCTCATGCCCAATGATGGATTCCAGACCTCTGCGACTGCTAGTGACTAATGCATTCAGCCTGAGCAACAAGATAGGTGCCCTGCAGCATGCAATCCTGCAGTATAATGTAGACGTGGCAATAGTAACAGAAACGAAGCTCTGCTCAGATAATTCCTCCCATGAGTTGACCATCCCAGGATACTCACCCCCTATAAGGAAGGATCGAGATGCCCATGGTGGCGGTGTGGCAGTGTGGGCTAGGAGTGAACTATCCATTACCCACCACGACGATAATGCCGTGATCACGAGCTCTTATGGATTTCCCTGGCAATGCACTCCGGAGCAAAGACTGTTCTGGGTGCGCTCTACCGGCCTGGCTCTTGTGCAGAGACAGACACCAGCCTGATGGACTACCTAGACAACACTTTGGATGATGTCCGCCGTCTTGGAAGCAATGTGATAATTGCAGGGGACTTCAACGTGCATAATTCAGCCTGGCTACAGAGTAGCAAGACTACCCGAGCCGGTGAATGCCTGGAGGAAGTCTGCGCAGCACATCATCTTGTCCAGCATGTCACCCAGCCAACCCGCGGCAACAATACTCTCGATCTTATCATCTCCGATTTCCCACACCCCGTATGCACCACAGCCTATGCACCACTTGGACGATCTGATCATGCCGTTATCATTGCCGAGTTTCTCCAACAGCATCCACGACGCGAAGATCCTGCTGTTCGACAGGTTTGGAAATACGCCCTTGCTGACTGGCACCACCTGAGAGCCTACCTCCGCAACATAGACTGGCCCGCCAAGATCCATGGGTGTGCGGAGCATTCCTGTCAGCGCGTAACTGATGTCATCATGCATGGAATGAAACAGTTCATACCATCCAAAGAGCTTGTGGTGTACCAATCCAACCCTGTATGGTGGACACCGGACTGTTCTAACGCCAATCATGCCAAGGAGCGGGCATGGAAGCTGTGGCGACGCAACCCCCGCAACGATAACCACAAGGTCCAGTACATCACAACTGTTAACCACGAAGTGGAAGCGTGTCATGCAGCGCGATTAGCACATCAACGTAGAATTCGCAACAAGCTTACTGCAGGTTCCCTCCGGGACAAAGAGTGGTGGTCAACCATCAAGAGCGCAGCAGGCAAGGGACGTTGCTCTGACATCCCCCTGCTGACCAACCCTGCAGGACAAGAGTTCCACTCTTCTCGTGAGAAAGCCGAGTGCTTTGCAGCGCATTTTGCGAACAAGTGTAGCCTTGGCAATAACGACCTCTGTGCTGCTGACCTGCCTGACCTGCAACGACCTGCCTATGCCACGCTAAAGCACATTCACTTCCGCGCAGCAACGGTCAAACGGCACTTGGCGAACTTGGCTGTATCAAAAGCAACTGGACCGGATGGCATCTCTGCTCGTGTGCTCAAGATGTGCTCATCTGAACTTGCAGACCCACTGGCAAAGCTCTTCGCCCTCTGCTTCTTAGCCGGTGTGCAACCTGGGGCATGGAAACTTGCCCATGTAGTCCCAGTTCACAAACGGTCCTCCAGATCGTTGGCATCTAACTACCGACCAATATCACTGCTAACGATCATGTCGAAAGTCATGGAGGGCATTGTAAACACGCAACTGGTTAACTACCTAGAGAAGCATGAGGTGTTGCCAAACAGCCAGTTTGGATTCCGACGTGGTAGAGGAACCGC